AACTTAAATTAAATTATAAAATTACAAGAAAAGTAAGAACTTTTAAATAGTTGATTTGATATTAACATTGATATATTTTTTTCAAATTTTTATGATATCTTCAAATTTATATTTTATTAAAAATTAAATCATTATTGTTTTATTAAAAACACATAAAATCGTATTATAACATCGACAGAAACAAAGAATAAAACATGACATTAAAATCAATATTTATCTCGCTGCATTGCGCGAGTACCCTTCTAATCAATTTAAAATATTTTTAATTAATATATTATATTATTTTAATTTTTTTTATCATCTTATTTATATTATTATATTATTACTTTAATTGTATTATAAAATATTATAATTGACTAATTTTTCAACATGTTTTTTTTTTGTTATTTTGTTTATCAGCTAATTTTTACCAAATATGATTTATTTATCAGCTAGTTTTTATCAAACATAGTCGAATTCTATCATTATAGTGTTAAGTATGACACTCAATACCATTAAATTATGAGTTACAACAAACCTGATGTTATTGAGTAGTAGAATTATGCATGAGTTAAGTTGGTTGGACCAAAAAACATTCAAGGGTCGTTTAATAAATGTTTATTGGATTAACACTTACTAGTATTACTCACCTCACAGATTGAGCATAACAATGACCACGAATTTTTCCTCATAAGAGACATAACAAGGACTAATAGTCTTACCCTGTAAATGAAGAAAAATGTTTTTACTTGATAAATATTTACCGGGTTTAAGATTTTTACCAACAACTGTTATTCATAGTTAAGAATATCACTTGAAAATCACTTATCAATTTAGCATATCAATCTGTAAAGTGACTTTTGAGTTTAGGCATGGGAATGGGGCAAGGACCTCAATCCCCATTCCCGTCCTCGATTACTTATCGCTATCCACATCCCCAACGAGGAAACAATGATTTTTTTCCGTTTATGTAAGTTATTTTAAATTAAATATGTGAGAGACCATATATGTTTAAATCTCAAACATTTTCAATAAACCTAAAACCAAAAAGAATTTATTTTAATACAAAAAAAAAAACCATAACATCATATAAGAACTAATAACCTAAAACCAAAAAAACTTAAAATCACATGTACCAAAATATATTGAGTAATATAAAATCATATCGAATAATATACAAAACTTATCGAGTAATTGTATTTTGACTTGATATCCAAAATATTACATATTAACATCCAAAAAAATAACAATTTTAGATTACAAAACTAGCTACAAAATAGGAAATTATGAATTACCGTTTTAGTATTATAACAGTTACAGGTCGGAGCGGGGAGTATCATACCCGTCCTCGTCCCCATCCCCAATTTAGCGAGAAATCCCGGTCCCCAACCGAGGCGGGTGGACCGGGTTTCCCGATGGGTCGGGGTCTATTCCCATGTCTAATTGGGTTTAAGACTCTTACTAATTAACCAGGTTGAATTGGAAAATGAAAAAAAATCCTTTTAATTTTACTTTTTTCATCTTTATTTATCAACCTGAATCAAACAACTAATAAAATTATTGATACAGTTTACACACAAAATTTTCAAATTGAAAAAATGGTCAAAATCTTTTTAAAAAAACTATATTTGATTATAACATTTTTAAATAAAGTTTTCAAATTAATTATATTATTAAAATACATAACAATCTATATTATATTATAAGACATTTGACAACAACTCTTAAAAATTATTTTTTATACATAAAATATTGTTTATTGATGCATATTACTTAAAATTCAAGATTACAAGTAAATAATGTATAAGTACACCTTATTAAAGCTCCGTGCTTGAATTCGTGTAACTAACTGCAGATAAACATAATCAAATACTGTAACTGACTGCAGATAAACATAATTAAATATGAACAATGCGTTATAACAAAATATTTGATTATTATCTTTATAAAAAATTATATTATTAAATAAAAAATAACTTCATTATTAACCCTAAATTAAATTGTAATAGAAAAAGTTGAATTGAAGAAATTACCCAATAAAATAAGAACTTTTAAATAGTTAATTTGATGCTAATATATTTGTTTTTTTTAAGATATCTTCAAATTTATATCTTATTAAAAACAAACACTATTGTTTTTTCTCAAAACCACATAAAACAATATTATAACAACGACAAAGAACAATAAAACGAAACATTAAAATCAAGATTTATATCGCTGCATTACACGGGTATCCTTCTAGTATAATAAAAGTATTTTATCTTTTTTCTCATATTTATTTAATCAGTTGGTTAAAGAAAAACAAATATTTGATTAGAATTGTTAAGCAGTAAACAAATTAAAATAATAAAAAATTAATTATATATCATTTCCTTATAAGCTTAAATTTAATGAAATTTCATTTTCCTTTTCACCCATCACTGTGAATCAAGGAGCCTTTGAGACTATCAAAATGGTTTACACATATTTTCTTCAAAGTGGAAAAAACCAAAATATTAATAAAAAACAATTTTATATTTAATTATAATATTCTTTTATTTTTAAAATTATAAATTAATTATATTATTAAAATATATAATAATATAATAAAACATTTATTTCTCTTCTTTCATTTATTTGATTAAATTTATTAAGTAATAATCAATGAGAATTAAATTAAAATAAACTCTCTGATTTTATATAATACAATCGATCGATTCGCCACAAACTCAAGTTTTCATTTTCGGTAAATTAGATGAGTGGAAATTCATTTTCATTTTCATTTTCATTTATCAACTTTAAAAAATCTATTATTTATGATCTTAAATAGCCATTACATATAATATGAATAAAAACAAAAATGGTTAACTCCACACATCCTAATTAATTAATAGTTAAAAAATTAATAATTAAATTAAATATTTTATTAAAATCATTTAATAGAGTTTTATTATCTATAAAATAAAATAAGTATAACTTTAATTTTTATGTAACCTAC